CTGTGTGTGTGTGTGTGTGTGTGTGTGTGTGTGTTTACATCTGAGATCAAATTTGCTACAGTGAAAAACCCCGTTGTGAAAAATTTCTTGCTGTAAACATGATTTCTTTGGAGCTGGAGTTTCACTGTCGCAACGATCAGAGTAGTTTGAAGTTTGACCTCTGCGTTGTAAGCATGTCTCGATCAAGGAGCGATTTTGGAGTTGACATATTACCGTAATGACCATACATAAGGTGCATCGGATTTTAAGGCGCGCTGTGAGCTTTTAAGAAAATGGAAGGCTTTTAGGTGCGGCTTTTAGTGCGGAAAATATGCTACTCTTGTCTGATTCAAGTTATTACTGTGACCACTGTACTCTAGGTTTGTCTTTAATTAACAGTGGGGAGCCAACAATTTTCTCCACGTTTATTTTATTATATCATGCCCACTGCTGTTTCTTGTCCTACAGATTAGCGGCCCGTCCCGCAGCAACAATCAGGTCATGGTGGACGACCTCTTGACGCCTTGTTCACCTGGTGACCCTGCTGCCCTAGAGATGACCTGGATGGATGTGCCGAGTGATAAGTTGCTAGAGCCAATAGTCTGCATGGTGAGCTCTGCACACATTTCAGGAATTATCAATACAGGAGTCACCTTGAAAAAGCCACAATTGCATGAGGGAGGAGACCCATGCATGATTTACGCTGAAGCGCGTCACTTCATGACCTGTGTGAAGTTGGTCCCCGTCCCGTTACGTTTGTGCTTCATTTGTGCAGTTTTATGCTGCTGCTATTTGACAATTATTAGACATGATTTTTTTTTTTTTTAGGGCATTCAAGTTCGCTCAGTCCACCATCTTCTCCAAATGAACCTGAAAGGCTACCATTCCATTGCGTTACATTTGTGCTCATTTTTGCTGTAAGAATTTCAGTTTGTGCTGCAACGATTTTATTGATACTACACTTTTTACTTTCTAGTGATGACATCACCCAGCCCCCATTTCTACCCAAATGGGTCAGAATGCTGCAATTTTTATGTGTTCTGTTTTTGCTATAAAAATATTGGGTTTTTTAGATATAACAGAGTTAAAACTATGATGACGTCCCCCAGCCCCCCCCCCCCCCTTTGAACCCAAATGGGTTGGAAATGGTGCCAGTCGTTGGTGCTGTAAAAATTTGTGGCTGAGCTGCTACAGTTTTATAGTTATTGAACACTTAAAATTATGATGGCCCTCCATGAAGGCGGCCCAGTGACCCAGTGGTTAGCACGTCAACCTCTGGTTCGATTCCAGCTCCGGCCTCCCTGTGTGGAGTATGCATGTTGTACCCGTGCTTGCGTGGGTTTTCTCCAGGTACAGTAATCCCTCGTTTATCGCGGGGGTTACTTTCCAAAAAGAACCAGTGATAAGTGAAATCCATGAAGTAGGAGTAGTAAAGCTTTATATTTTACAGTTAATATACAATACTGAACTATGTATAGAATGAAACCAAAGACCAAAACCTGTTTTCAGGCCCAAGCACAAAAAAACCAAACGTTTTCAACAAATAACTATAATACTTTTTGGAAATACTGTACTGTAAAATAATATTGCTTGAGCGCATCCTCAGGTGCCTTTGCTGGTGCAGAATGTTTCGTCGACATTGTGGGGTATGCGTGTACAAAGATGAGGTGCCGAGACTGTTCACATTGCTCAGTGCCTTAGCCAATCAGGATGCAGAACGCAATTCACTGTTTAAAAGCATTACAAAAACTGCACTAAAAAAATCCGTGAAACAGCGAAGCCACGGAAGGTGAAGCGCATTAGAGCGAGGGATCACTGTACTCCGGTTTCCTCCCACATTCCAAAAACATGCACGGCAGACTGATTGAACACTCTAAATTGTCCCTAGGTGTGAGTGTGAGCGTGGATGGTAGTTCGTCTCTGTGTGCCCTGCGATTGGCTGGCAACCGGTTCGGGTTGTCCCCCGCCTACTGCCCGAAGACAGCTGGGATAGGCTCCAGCACCCCCGCCGCCACCCTTGTGAGGATAAGCGAATTGGAAAATGGATGGATGGGCCTGATCTGAATTCTATTGAACATCCATAGAAGGATCTGAACTATGCCGTCAGGCTTGTTTCATGACTTTTTAAAATGATCCTGTAAACCACAATTCAAAAGCAAAGCCTGGTTTTCATTGATGATTTTCATTAAATTTGAAATTATGACTTTACCAGACATAGACACTCGTTATAAGTGTAAAAACACAGGATTGTGAATCACATTATGGATTCAGACATATTTTAATTTGTTGTGATGTCAGCTGGCACCCTGAAATGTTTTTGTCCTGTAAAAACTTCTGTTTGTTGGGGGAAAAGAGTCCGCTTTGTTTGTGCTGCCCTTGATCAAGATGTCCTGTCAAATTTCCAAGCTGCCTTTCATTTCCAAAATTCTGGAAAAAGTGGTGCACATGCAGTTAAAATCATCAGCAGAGCTACATGAATACATTTCCAATTAGGAGCATCACGCAAAGTTCGTGTGCATGATTGAAACATTTTTTATTTCTCTTTCCATATCGTTTTAAAAACACATGAGCCACTGGCTTTGACAAGCAGTGCCTAAATCACTGTACCTGCCTCAGGCATACTGAGGAAGGCATGCGCTGTCATTTATGCCAAAAGAACTGCGCCCCAACACAGCAGGCAACGCTGCCTTCCTTGTGAGACAGCCATCAACCAACTACAAAAAGACATGAGGTGACGGCCATTCACAAAGCAGCACAAGAGAAGGAGAAGTATATCAAAGATGGTAGTAGATAAAAACACTTAAGTAATAAATTCACGAGAACTAAAATACAGTTTAGAATTTTTTTTTTGTTTGTTTTCGTTTCTTTAAACGGAGGACACTGCAGCGTGCTATTGCAGCACAGATGGACATGTACCACAGAGCGCTTGAAGGCTGCTTCAAAATCTCAAACAAATGTGGTCCACCCCCCACACAAGCTATGTGTCCATCATTCTCCTCTGCAAGTTTTAATAAACAATTGCTTCAACATGATAATAGTCATATTGTAGTTGGAACTCGTAACTTAAAGTATGTTTCCTCTAAGAGAAAATGATTCTGTTGTATTTATGGAATAAATGAACATCATGGCGCATGGTCAGGATTGTGCCCCCTCTGCCTCAATTTTGGCCAGGAAAAACCCTGACTTATCCTCACGAGGGTCACGGGCATGCCGGAGCCTATCCCAGCTGTCTTTGGCCAGCAGGCGGGGGACACCCTAAACTGGTCGCCAGCCAATCGCATGGCACAGTTTTAAATGTAGTTTGTTTTAATATTTGTGTTTTCATTTGGAGTCTTAAGATTCATAGAACCAGTCAAGGCTAATTCATCCATAGTAATTTTATTGATGCCACACTGAAATCTAATATACTTTTATACAAGCTGCAATGATGCGCCATTACAAGGTTACAGCGAAAAATACATTACAATAACAAATACTGAAGCCACAATTTATGGTTGCAGAGTAATGATTATGTTTTGCAAATGAACAGCATATAAAATTGTTTTTTATCTGATGATGTAATATGTTATTCTGTAGGTTGGCAGCTCGGTGATCCAGTTACCGGTTTGATCTGTAACGTGCAGTGTTAAGAAAAGGGGTGATGGAACCTACACTGCACACAGGCTTCAGGCTGCAAAGTACGAGTTGCGCTTGATCCTTCTTTGTGATCGGCATTGGTCGATCACGCGCTTCTCCGTAGAAATCGCTCGATCGTGATCGGTGGCCAATAGATCGGAGCACCGCAAGTGCACACACATCACATGGGCTCAGGATGAGTGTGTGAATAGAAAGAACGTCAAACAAGACAGAGTCATGTTTTTCTTCTTTCCACTTGCAGTCGGACATGCTGCGGTCCCTTTCCACCACTCGCCCAACAGTCAACACTGAAGATCTGCTCAAGGTCAAGAAGTTCACAGAGGACTTTGGGATGGAAGGCTGAGTGAAATACTTCCCCCATCTTAAATGAGTCAAACTGCTCCGAGCAAACATACCAGTCTAGCAAACAAATGCCATTCTCATCATTGTACCCTCCCCCCACCCCCTCCCTGCCCCCCTCCTAGCCTTATATCACCATACTGCACTTGGTTCATTGCCTCTCTTGGATTCCAAGACTTGCAACGGTTTTCACCCAGAAGAATCATCCACTCGACCCGTTTTGAATTCTGGAGATTGCTGACCAAATGCCGCGAAGAGAAAACTCGGCACGACTCCCTATTTTAGATGATGCATCATTAAAAAGCTGCCGCTACAGCACAACCCAGGTGACAAGGGGTAACTGAAGGATTGGACATTTTGTTGCGCTGTGGTTCACTTTGCTTTTGGATTGAAGGAGATTGACAACGTGTTTTATTTCATGTCTCTGTCTTAATGCACACACCTTGTTGTTATTTAGAGTTACTTGTTTTGAGTGTCATGTTGTAAATCATTGCTGCCTCTACCACATCTCTGTGTATCAGGCATTTTACCCTTAACGGGTGACTTTTAAATATTAATTGATACTAAACATCAATGGAGCAAATCTGTCTCTTGGTTGAAATTACACATGGGCAAATGCCTAAAAGCTGGTATTGACCATTTAAACATTCAGAAACACTGTACGGTTTGTGACACAGGCTCTTGGCATGTCAGGGTGTAAATTGGTTACAATTTTTATTCTCGTAGTCAACATAGGCAATGTCCATTTGTTGATGATTTAGCACCCACAAGTTTCTTTCCTCAAAATATTTTACGAAAGTCAAAGGAGATTGTTCAAGCATATCTTTCGAGCAGTTTCTGCTCATGATTCGAATGAAGACACTGCATCAGTATCTTACAGTCTATCTGTAAGTGATGGACTTGGTATGCTGTGAGTGCGTCGTTGTATTCATGTGAAAGTTACTACTAATTACTACAACTGAATTACTACTAATTCAAGGTGCATAAATAAAGATGACCTTTTCAGTGGAATGGACACTTTTTGGCAGTCTGTCATCAAGAACAAGTACCGGTACTCTATTATAGACTTGTGAATATCAGCTATCTATTGCATTTCTGCTATTTGCTTTATTTTAGGGGCAATCAAGCTGATGGGGAATGGGGAGGAAAACCTGCAGCAAATATTGTACCTATTAATCTGGAAGTTCAGGTTGTACAAGTTGAAAGTATTGAATATGCCTCCATGCGTATTAAAGAAATTTAGAATAGCTTGACAATTTGGGTATTTTTTTAGGCAATAAAAAGTTTTGTTTCACTCAGCTCGTTTGTGGTCTAACAACGGCAACCATGAAAAGTCGAGTGACACCCATGCCCTCGCAGGCTTTTGCTCGGGATACAGTCCTTCACATGTTCAGTACAATGGAATTGAAACGGGGGTTTAGAACATTCAGCTCGATTGGATATTTGGTCAAATGCCTGTTGCTAATTTATACAAAGTGCACGATAAAACACAATGAACATGTTTTGTCATGTCACCCCACATGCATTTGTTTTAATTGAACCAAGTAGTCGTGTGTTGCTGTGCTGTTCGTGTGACAGAAGCATGTGCTCTGTTGCATGCATGGGACTGAGGAACCGGTTGGAAGAAATCCCACAATTTATGCATTACATGTGGTGTTGAAACTAAATATTTCAGTTCCAATTAGACAAAGACCAAATCTGCAAATTTCAGAAATTGTTTCAGTCAAGTGCCGTAATTCCCAAGGAATGTTTGGGACTTGCCTGGAATATCTGTGTACATGAAGGAAGGGCTTTAGTATCTTATTTTCAAGTCCCCTTCATACACATTGTACAGCTCAAACAATTCTGTTGGAAGACAATGTAAATTTGCACATGTACATGTACAGAGCAATGGAATTGACTTTACAGTACAACCAGTCCAAGAGACAAAATGACAATGGCCAACAGAGGAAGACACAATGGAGAACCCTGACGAGTCTCCATGTACAGTGTAATTTTTAATTTTTTTTAATTAAAGAAAACCTGGGAGAATGAGGTGAGTGGACACAATTTCAAGCGTTGCTCCTACAGGGAGGGAGGGGCCACAGAATGGCATATTTATCTTCAGCTCAAAGCCTCACGAAACTGTTAGCTCGCCGCATACCCATGATTAACCCTTTCAGGGACAGTGGACAGCTTACCATGTTATCAGGTCACAGGGTGCATGAAAGGGTTCAATGTTGCAAGAAGGTGATTGCTCCTAATTGCATCATTTAACAGGTGAATGACAAGTTGTGTGTAGCAGAGTAGAGGAGAGGCCGGCAGTGAGCAGAACATCCGCGCTTCATTTTTATTGAAGGCAAAACGTTTGTGTGGGTATTCTACGCAGCAATGTGAACAAAACACGCATGTGGAAAAAGACTGCTGGCATGCCGCTTGTTTCAGGTCTCGATCTTGGTTACACTTTGCTGCGTTTTGAGTGGCTCTCCGCCTGAGAAGCAGCACGTTTGTTGCGATGGTGAGGGAAGGTCGGCATCAGGTCGGGCTCACAAGCTGCACGGGATGGAGAGGGGAGAAAAGAAACGAGATAAGCATGAGAATACGGGAACAATGTAAAGCTCTGATTTCATACAAGGACAGTTTACTCACGTAGCGGTTTCTCCTTGAAGTAGGAACTCTCCAAACAATCTTTGGCAGAAGCTCTAGAAAAACACACCACGTTAGACAGGTTAGTGTCCAAATAGTATATTGACATAGTGGCTGATGTCTCCATGGACAGCAATGTCATATTAAGTTCCAAGACATGCAACAAAAGTCATTTTCATGAATGACTGGATTGGAACTTGAGGGTTGTTTTGTCTCGTGCTCGATGTAATCATGTGCTTGATGTGCTCATCGGCATATGGAGGCAGGGAGAAACTTCAATAGCAATGCTGTATGATTAACAGGATTAGTAACAGTATGGCAACAATAAACTGCAGCAGATGTGGAAGCATCGCTATGGTTGGGCCACGACAGCGGCGCCTACTCCCAGTGAAAGGGGAAAGAAACGTCGCTGTGTTTTTACCGTTGACCGCACTGGTGCCTTGAGATAGGAGTGCCTTCAGTTTTTCCACATACTAATCATCATATTGACCGATTTTTCTGTGAGGTCGGATAGCCTTCACCCCGAGGGGGGAAGGCGCCGTGGCTCGTTCGGAAAAACATCGATTATAGTTTGAGCCATCTGTGGCAGCTCACGTGGGAGCAGGTCAGCGCAAGTGATTAGCGAGCTTGTAAGAGCAGGAGTGCCATCTTTAAGGTTAGTCAGGGCTAACTCTCGCTGCTATGTCATGTCTGTGATCGGATTTTTTTAACAACGGAGCAAATCTCCTCATGGACTGGTGATTTTGTGATTTTTGACAGGGGGAGTCTACAAAGGTAACCAAGTAAAAATACTTGTTACCGTGAGTAGAAATTTGGGGTATCCATACTTTTGTGAAGTCGGGGGGTTGTTTTGTTTTGGGGTTTTATTTGCCTACTTGGTACTTTTACGCCTAACATTTTTATGCAAATGTACAATCTACCCCTTACACTTAGTCCATGAGCCAGTTGAAAATGGTTATTAAGCGACTGAATAAACACCACTGCGATTTTTGAGGAGCCTGACATCTCAGATATTAGAAAATATTTAGCGGATGTTGCATAGGAGTAGCCTAACATCCCGATGGCATCTATTTTTAAACATGACCGTCGTTCCCTCCAAAGAAACTGGGAAAGACTACTAAAATGTAACTCATCATTGGAATGGATTAATACCTTTTATTTTGAATCATTTGGCTCAGAGTAACATACAAGCTCCTCTCGTGTAAAAAAAAAAAGTGTTTTCTACAAGTTGTTTCATTACACATACTTTAAAAAAAAGTATCTTTTTGGGGGTGGGATGAGTTTATTTTTGGGGGTGGGGGGCGGGTTTTGTGAAACATTCTTGAAAAAGCTTGACCAAAAGTCCACTTAGGAGTAAAAGAATCATCATCTATTGTACCCTTGGTTTGCAAGTAGAAATAAACAGAATCCGCCAACAAAGGAAAGAAGCAGCATGACACAGGGGAATCATAGGAACAAATTGAGAAAACGTACATCTGAACGCGCAGCTGATGGGCAGCCATGACTTCCCACGATGAAACTATTTTGACAAGAGGAGTTCCTACATGCGGGAAATTGAAGGGTCTTGAAGGGTTCAAGCAAATTTGGAGAAAAAAATGCGGAAACCTCGTTGTCAATGGATAGTTTGAAGAAAAATAACGGGAGGAAATTTTTGAAACATGGTGGGCGGACTTCATGATGAACTGTAAAAACCCCTCCCCCAAATACGTTTGATAGGCTCCAGCACCCCGTCCCCCCCGCGACGCAAGTGAGGAAAAAGCGGTTCAGAAAATGAATGAATGAATGAATGATTTACAGATATGGAATAATAGAATATGTATGCAAGGACTTGAATAACATTATTGTATACACGAGGTCATCAAATCGGTGTCAGTTCTGTCTGTCAGGTGGGTTGCCTGAAGGGATTTTGGAAGTCCATCAGGTGTCAGTATTTAGTGACACAGTATCAACACACAGAGATGAAAGTCCTCCGGATTTTCCCGGAATTCCGGGTTTTTCAAATTTTTATGAAAATTTCTCCGGAGAATTGAGGAAAATTTGCATAAAATTAATCTGGATATTGGTTGACAACATTGAACGAAGACACGTTTGAGTTTGTTGTATTGCTTTCACGAGCGTAGCCATATTGAGGCACTAACACTAGTAACAGTAAAGAGATTTTTGTTTATGTAATAACGACAGAAGACATGATGGCGTTTGACTAATGGTTTAGTAGAACGAATGGCAACTCGCAACAACAGTAGCAAGCATCATTTTGCCTCTTGGGTTATACCATCTCAACTAGAACGTGGGGGACAGTCCCCAAACATTTTTCGTCTCTTTATAAACACACCTGCTAAACCCCAGTGGAACGAATAAAAGACGCCGT